ACCGATTTACATTGAGATGAGCGAAGAGTTGACCTTCGAGAAAGGTAAGTTAGTTGTGGTAGGTGAAAAACATATGTAGGCTAACGATATATATAGTGTAGGATAAATGTTTTAGGATTTTTTTTTTAATTTTTTTCGGTGGCCCATTTTACAAATTCGGTGATTTAAACGAAATCGATGTCCCATTAACTAATAGTATCGATAGCCCATTAAAATCATATTAACAATAGTGATACGTAAGATTAATGATAATTCAATTAAAATTAAGAAAATGACACGTATATATGACACATAAGCAAATCACTCTGGTGTTGACACGTAAGAATTTTGACTTCGCCAATAATAGTATAGATTGTCTAGCTTTTGAAATAAAATCCCATAATAAATTGTATTTTTTTTTTCACCGTGTTATGGTTATAAAAAGTTCTAACTATTTTATTTGTATTGATGGTTTGATTCAAAAAATTTAGTAAATTTTGAACTTTCGATCAGTGGAATGTTGTTATTGGACAAACTATACATATTTAGTGATTTGTTATTTTACAAATGTCGATCTAAATAGTTTCAATAATTTAGCTAATAACCAACTCGTAGTAATATCTAATTTTATTAGTTTAAAAAAAATTATCATGAAATCAGAGAACTAGTCTTCGAATTCTTCCATTGAGATTGGACTTTGGTTTAAAAACTATCGATCATATAAAAATTATCTAATAAACAATAAAAACTGCTAATTATTGGCTTAAACATTACTCAAAATTAAGCCAGAAAATTAAATGTATATAAGCATGCAGTGAACATTAAATATTTATTTTAATATAATCTCTTTTTAGTTTTTGAGTATGAAATTAGATCATTGTATAGTTTTTGAGTATAAACTAGTTTATATTTTTTTGGTTTTGTCTTTTTTTTAATTGATGGTTTTGTCTTTTTTGCTTGTAATTTCAAGATGATTATGTGTGTAACTTAACTACTCCATTGTATTTAGATTATTCAAATTGCTTATATGAAGTATTATTATTTGAACTATACGTATATCACGATTTCATTCTTCCACTAACTCTCGTCTTGATAATCTCTTGAAGTCGTTGGAGAAAATTAAAAGATTTCAAATCTCTGTCTTCCAGTCAGTAATCAACAAGCAATACCTAAAAAGTTGGTTGCTTCCGTTTGGATGTGATGGAAATTCATGTCAACATTCAATGCTTAATGGCTCTTGTTAACTCATAAAAAGAAGAAAAAAAAAACGTATTGTCTGATAAAAAAACATATGTATTAATTCTGAATTTTAAATGGAAATATTTGAAAATTGAAATGTGATTTGCTTCCATTGGGGTTTGATAAATATGTATTTCATCATTTCTTTTTCAACTATGTATATTCTCATCATAATGTTTTTTTTTTTAAAAACAATTGTATTTAAGAGTTATTTCAGTTTCCAGGACTCTAACTATATATATCTAACATGGTTGGTTGGTTGTGATAGATATATATTTTAAACAC